GCCTACTGAAAATTTAAAAATATAGCTGTTAAAGTAATGGACTGAATGGGCAGGTAGAAGTTTTTAAAATCCAAAATGGGTGGTGGGTTATTTTTTGCTGATTTTTCCCTTCCTCTTTAGCCCCCATTTTATATTACACAAATATATTCAAAATTATCCACCAATCTCAGAAGTAGATTTCCTGCAGGGATCTGCAGGAGAAAAGGAGTAATTGATGGAAAATACTTATCCCCTTCTTAATTTAACTTTAAAAAAAAAGGATTTTTAGTGTTAGATTATCCATTACCACTGAATGTATAGTGAAAGACAACTTGCAAGTATAATTTTCCATTGTAAAAATTGTGTTTAAAGGAAACAGAGGCACAAAATAACATTTTGTTCAAAGTATGAAACAAAGCTTGAAATACTTCAGATGTTCCTCTATAAAGGAATAATGGGAAATTGAAATATGGTCCGTTTTCTTTTTTTTTTTAGGTCACAAAAGTTCCCATTGTTCTCTGTAATAGAACATTCGAAACATTTCAAGCTTTGTTCCAAACTCGGAACAAAATGGTATTGTGTCCCGCTTCTTTGTTTTTTTAAACCGTATTTTTACAATGGAAGATTATACTTGCAAGTTCATCTTTCAATATGGATTCAGTGATAATTAACAGTCTGACAGTAAAAATCTATTAAATTTAAAGCTATTTACTTACCAAATCTATGCTGCTACTTAACACCTTGCCTACAGAAAAGTTGACAGGGTTTTTTTCTTTAAATTAAAATTACTATTTTTTTTTTTATAATAAGTTGGGAAACAGTTAAATCTGCTTTTTGCAGCCCCTATTGCCAAAAAACCTACAGAATTGACACCAGCAGCACAATGGATTCACTTCAACACAGCCCATGAATAATCAGTGAAGTCTAACTTTCACACACAGCAAAGAATGTAAAAACGTAGGAAACCTATTTCAAGCAGGCTGCAGTCTTTCTTTTCTGTCCAAAAGACCTCTCAGCGCATGCTCCAAAGGGTTCTTCCTTATTCCTAACGCCACTGCAAGCTACTGGCAGCAGGTATGCATCCTGTTTTATTGGAGAGTGCCTTCCCCAAACCTCTGTGTGCGGAAGAATTTAAGACAAAGCAGATTGTGAGAGGTTAAGAAAGCCTGAAACTCAAAAAGTGTGGAATGACTCATCCTGTTATATCTCAAGCATAGGACCAAACTTAAAAACAAAAGGTGGCAGATCCAAGCTCAAAACATGTCGCATACCAATAAAAAGTGTCATTTTAATAGTATGTAGAAGAATTACTATATTTTGTGTTCAATTTGTAGGACAGCAGCGAAATTCACTTCAAGGTGAAAATGACAACGCATCTAAAGAAACTTAAAGAATCATACTGTCAGAGACAGGTTTGTGGCTTGAACTTTTCCTTGCTCACATGGTATGAAATATAAGAGTGCCTTAAAGTACAGTTTTCATGCTACTTTGCATCTGACTGAATTTTTAAGTACATAACCCAAAAATTAAAAGAAATGGAGAAATGGATGGTAGACAGTAGTGAACATCTGGGGTTTGGTTCATTTTAAATTGATTCTCCACATTTTTCTTTTATTTTTTAGGGAGTTCCAATGAATTCACTCAGGTTCCTCTTTGAGGGTCAGAGAATTACTGATAATCATACTCCAAAAGAGGTAAGTTTTCATAGACATCAGTTCCTAATACTACTTGTATTATTTTAGTGTTGGATAGCTTCCAAAATAAGAAATGACAATAGCTTTTGTCACTATTCAAAGAAGCTAGATTGACCTAAAAGAAGCAAAACACCCTGATTATTTAACAGTAGAAGCAACAAAATGAATTCCCATTCTAAATTATACTGCTGAAATGAACAAAGCTTGAGGAAACCTGGGGTGGACATTTGCTTTGAAGAATTGTGAGCACTTTTCAGTTATGCAATACAAAATACATTTCTGGATTCATTATTATTTATTTATAAATATCTATCTTTTGTACCAGACTCTAATTGATACATCTTAAGCTTTTAGAAAAACCAGATTAGATCCTGGATGTGTGCAGTCTCTTATCTCTCATGTAAATGCACTCAAGAGCGTGCACTACCCGGCAATATTCAAGAGAAGTTTTCTTGAAAAGCAACCTGCTCCCTCCAATATGTTGTAACATAAACTGTGATTTAAAGTCCTCATGTTTGACAAGGTTCTCCAGAATGGTTCAAAAACATCTGACTGGAGACTATTAAACTATAAAACTTACATTTTCATTTTCTGGAGAGGAAACATAGTTGATACAAATGCACTGACCTTAACATTTTCTAAAAATGTCCCTGGTATGTAGTTTTTAGACATCTGTTGTGCATGTGTTTCCTCTGGCATATAGTTTATCTAGTCATTTAAAACATTTTTCATCTGTATGAATACTAGGATGATATAGAATAGTGAATAAAAGTTTGATTAAAAGAAAATTATATAAGCAAACATTGCCTGAAAGGGCACGTTCTAAAGGTTAATGATGGCTCTGAAACTGTCCTGTATTCCCTGAATGGATTCAAATAAATAAAAATTATGTCCCAATATATTACAGAACTTATTTTCAAGTACGTTAGTTTAAACTTTTGTTTCTAAGTATTTATAAAATTCTGTCCTGACTGTAAATTAAAGGTTGTACGTGTAATTCATGTGCTGCCTTTGTTGATACATGACGGAATAAAATATATGGTTTTCCAGAAAATGATGTCCAGACATTTTAAAGATAGCAAGGTACTATTAAGAAGCCTTTCCTACATGTGCAGTCCATGTGATTATTACCATGACAGTTCTGTTGGATCTGACCTCTTCTGGAAGGCTTTACCAGTAACTTTTAAAAGTTCATGTTTAATTTTTAATGTGTTTTCTAAAATCAGAAGAGTTTCAAATGTTACCTGAATGTTAAATGATAGAGCAACATTTGCACTTTATAGACTGATTTTCAAAATTCACCCATTAAATTGGCAAGTGTTTGGTTTTTCTTTCTAGGAAAGAATCCTCTTCCAGGAGTTAGGGAAACAAAATGTGAGAAAATTCATTGGTCTTTGGAAATTGGAAGGGAGGGTGCATGAAAATCTGCTTTCCCTGCTTTCTTTCATATTTATAACTCTGGATTCAACCCGTTGTTCCCCTAAAATATAATTAAAATTGGTAACAAACACAGCTTGGATGATTTTATTAAGTAAATAGTAAAATTCTGCTTTGGGGGATTTGAATGTATATGTACAATGTGTATTGCTTGCTAGGTGGCAATGAGTAGTCAACTTTGGTGATCTAACGTACCAGATAGGCTCAAACCTGGCTAGTACTTAAAAGGGAACCCTCAGAAGATCTAAGGCTGTAGGCTAGATTAGATACTTAAAAAACTTCTTAGAAGGTGGCAATGGCAAATCACTTCCGTTTTGTTGCTATGAAAATTATGAAATTCCCAGGAGTCAAGCTTAATGTGGAGATTTTACCTCTTATTATAGGTGGTCTTTGTTTAAAGACTACTCATTCAGCAACTGTTTGAACTTACCATGATGCTGAATGAATGGTACTTACAACTGCTCCTCAAAGTTCTGCCCATCATAGTGTCCCTGTGATCATGTGATTGTGACGTCACAGTGTCCTGCAGTCACATGATCACCATTTGCGACCTTCTTTGCTGGCTTCCTACAAGCAGAGTCAATGGGGAAGCCAGCAGAGGCAGTCAACGTGACAACCTCGCTTAACTACCTGCAGTAATTCATTTAACAACGGCAACAGGAAGTGACAGCATTTCCATCGCTAAGCAGCATGGTCACGTGACTCACGCTTTACAACTATATTGCTTAGCAATGGAAATTCCAGTCCCTATTACTATAATGATGGTAAAAAACTGTCAAGACACTAAAACACAGCTGCTGTTCCTGGAGATACCACCCTGTATCTTTCCTACATTATCCACAGAACTCATGAGAATGACCTTTTGTTCTTATTCTATGCCCATTTATTTATTAAATTTATATGGTCAGCCATCTCAAGTACATGATTCTGGGTGGCTAACAATTAAAAACAGAAGAAAAACAGAAGAAATTATCACCCGAGCTCTGCAAAGCATTTATAATCTACACTATACTACCAAAACAGCACTGCGTTTCACAGAAGACATTAACTTCATACTTTCTTACACATGCGTGGAGAAAATGAAACAGATATCTGTGGCTTATATAAACAATTTGATAATTATCTTAATATAGTTGACAGAAGACATAACCAAAGAGTAAGTTACCAATATGTCTGGTATTATTTTTTAAAACTAAAAACTCGGGCTTAAACCATGCTTTGTGATATAAGATTTTTATTTACTTGTAAAGCTATAATTTAAATGTTTATATTGAGCAACGATTCTGCATTGTAGGGTATTAATTTTTTAAAAAACAAAGTTTTAGAAAACCTGATACTTGCTGAGAATCTCTTTATATAAGCAAAATAAATGTTTACTTATCAGTTTTGCTACTAGTTTCTGGCTATTGCAGAAAATCCACTGAACTGATGTGCATGCTGAACAACCAACATGGCTGTGCATTTTGGCATTTTTAAAATAAAATTGTGATTTTTATTTTACAGCTTGGAATGGAAGAAGAAGATGTGATTGAAGTTTATCAGGAACAGACAGGAGGCCATTCAAAAATTTAGAATGTTTGCTTTTTTCCCTTTCCCCTTCCCCTTTATCCTTTTTTATTTTTAAATAATAGTTCTTTTGTAATGTGGTATATAACACTGAATTAAATCCAATGCCCCATTCCTATGTTTGAAATATTATTTCCAGTTGTCTGTTTTGAATTCTTGTGCTCATTATACACTGTCATTGTGTCAGACTCTTGTGATCCTACTGCAGTTGTGCTTCCCAATTTTTCCTGTTTTCTCTTTAGAAATGCAACTGTCTACACATGTGGTTATGTGTTGGCAAGGCTTGCGTATTCAAGCCTGTTGACAAATTTGCCAGTGGGCAAAGATTCCTAATATTCATATTGGCCTGAAATTTAGGTGTGTGACTTTTATTTGTGGATTTTAAGATAAAAAGGTATGAAAGATTTTTGAAATCTAAACAGAAGGATTGTGTCCTAAAATTAAGAGTTTTCTGTAGGTTTTACTGGGAAGTATTCAAATGCTGATGGCAAAAATGTAGTTTCTTTATGGTAATATTATCTTTGAAATGGCTTCACTGAAGATAACATGGACATTTTTAGGATTTTTGTCAACAGAAGATCCTAGGAAGTTCTAATTTTTAGTAATGTACACCTTCATGCAACAAGACTTATGATTTTTATGTTGTACCTGTTTGCCTGGAATGTGGTTTTTCAATGGACATAGATTGTATTGGCTTCCCTTTAAATAAATAAGAGGAAACAAATTCATACACCTCCGCATTTTCTTTTAAGACATGAATCTGGAAGATTATTTGAAAAACTAGTGAGGAATATTAAAAGTAGTTTCATATCAATACTTGAGGATGTAATATAGGAAAAATTGTTAACTTGATTCATTTTTGAGAATTAGCAGTTTCCCTGCTGCTTGCTTTCAGTTTATAAGTAGAAATAAAGAATTTATCTTTCACTGGGAGTTGTATTTTGTACATGCAATGTGTAGCTCCTGAACTCTGAAAATTCATGTTACTGTAAAGTAACGATGGAAAAATAAAGAAGAAATGAAAATAAATGAATACTCAAAACATCCTTCTTTAGGTGTTTAAAAAACAGGGATGTACCAAGTCCTCAGTTTCAGAGAATCACATAAAATACTGGGACTCAGTTATGAATAACCTAATCTATTGATTTCAGTGAAATTTAACCTTGAAAATCCTCGGTACTTTGCAGACAAGTGCATCCTGTATAAGATGCACTTATTCTTCAGATGCTTCAGAAATTCTTCAGATTCTTCAGAAATGCTGAAAAAACATTGACCTAAGATCAAGATTCTCACCTTTTAAAATCCAGAGCTTTTCCTTTTGACTTCAGTAGGTTCAGGATTGAAGACCTTGCATTAAATCCTGTTTGTTTGTATAAAGAAGTAAACTAATTGATTTTCAGACAGCTCACGTTGGCAATCTTAGAGTATAGATACCTCTAAAAAAAAGATGTCTGGAAATAAGTTACTCATTGATGTTTGGAAATTATGTGAAATAGTATTCTAAAATGAGGGCTGATCAACAAAACCTTTGTTTCCTAAGTGATTGTCTAATTCAAAATTTTTTACCTTCGTATCTTGGTTTACTGCAGAACTGTCATAGAAAACCTGTTAATGCTAGAAAGGTTTTTTGGCTCAGGTTTGCAATATTGATGATGGCAGGACTAGAAACATATTGCTCTACCTCGGGTTTATTTTCGTTGCCAGGGGAATGGGAAAAGGTCAAAAATTAAGACTGCAATGTTCTTAACCATACTTTAACAAACCATTTAATTGTATTTACTTTTTGGGCACTTACTGTAAAGTGTTAAATGGATCTTCTCCAATGCTTGTAGTTTCCATGTCCCACTACTGATGCCTTTTTTGTACGCATGCCGAACTTTTTTTAAAAATTAAAACTTGTTTTCAAAAATCATAATCTGGGGTTAAGTGTTATCCATATCTTTAACTTTAAACATATGAATGAAGTGAGTGGAAAAGTTTTGTAACCTGGCACTTGTTCTTTCAGATGACTGCCTCTTACATTGCTATTCTTCCTAGAGGAGGGCAGCAGTTTGCAAGAGAACAATTAAAAGTCTTAAAACATCCACTATAAAACCCAGAGTCACTAAACGCCTTAAAATAAGATTCATTTTTTAAAAACAAAAGCAATAGCATAGTCAGTCTGAAAGAAATTTTGGGGACCATCTGAACTTCCCTTAGGAGAGTTCCTGCCGCTGAGAAATTTCTTACTCCTGATCAGTACATTAAACCAGACCATTTCTAGGACCATAAAGATTCATTCACAGTGAAAACTCAAAACACTGCAGAAATGGAAGTAGAGTATGAGTCATACTCTTAGGTCATCTCAAATAGAAATCCCAAGGCCCCTATTTCTGGAGATCAAGGGCAAGAAGGGTTGAAATTGCTTTGCTATTTCAAACTACATGTTATTGCTCAGGAGGGTCTATATTTCTATTATAACAAAAAAGATAGTTCATGTCTTAAATATAATCTTGAATTCACAGCCTGATTCAAAGACCGCGAGTTATTCTCTTATACCTTAGGACTTTTCAAATGAAAAAGCCTACTTGTAGCCTAAAAAGAAATAGAAGAGGAGAGAAGAAATGATTTCACAAGTATAGATATGAAACTGCATAGGAGCCAATCAAAAGCAGGATCCAAGGGTGTTTGCCTACCACCACCTCTCAAGCTGGATTGTGGTTTAGTCAGTGCTCAAGGGAACTCAGCATATTTGCACTAATAGCCTAGCTGTGATATTTACATGCATCCACACATACCCCAGTATGGGTCAGAAAATACTTAGAACACTGTCTAGACAGTGTCACTACTAGCTTAGGGGCCAGACAAAATTTGAAGGAAAGTGCTTAGAAGTAGTTCTATATTTTAGTTCTTAGCCTGTCAGAGAACTTGTCAGAATGCAACAGTTTGCTACTGCTTTTATAAAATTAAATGAAAAGACATTTGCATGTGGCTAGGACAACAACCTCACTTAAGTGTTCTTTAATCATCCTCTCCTGTTGTAAAAAAAGGATGCTGGAAATAGGAATAAACCCACGGACGCGAAATATCCTGTCTTCGTTCCAGACCATATGATTCTACAAGTAGTTGATATTGAAATTGTTGCTTCTTCTCCAGCTCTGCCATTTGTCTGGAACCAGAGAAATTAATATGAGAAAATCTGTAATCTTAGCAAGATTATATGGTACGGCAGGTTGAAATGGGCTGAAAAGCAAAGGTCCATCCATTAAAACTACATTTTCTAGCTGAACAAGAAAAGCATAGAGACTTCCTGAGCAGACTCCTGTAATCCAGGAGTCACCACCACCAAGTCTCTTGCCCATGTTAGACTGGCAAGGGACTTCTAACTCATCTGCTGCTGGGACACAAAGTAGAGCTTCCTCGTGGCACCTTAAGGTATGGGCAAAGTAGTTTCAAAGAACCAGTCTTTCCGGAATCTTGACCTCAAGTAATGTACTGCATTAATGCAATAATCAACAATCTGAGTTGTAGCTGTTGTAAAATAAGAATTACAGTATGCATTCCACTAAAATCCTTGCCATAGCATTTGGGACTAACTGAAAATTAGGGAGAATTTCACAGGAAGCTCACCATCATTAAAATTATTAAGCATTAATAATTACCAGGTGGCAAAACTGCGTTGCCAATAAAAAGTCATTCTGTACTACCACAATCCACAGGGGCACATTCACTGGTAAGGGGCAGAAACACATTAATATGATGAATCCTTATTGGATGACTGGACATCAAAGTGAAAGTGAAACTTCCTGGGTGATTCCTGCCTATGAAATTGGCTTGAAGGTGATCCAAGGTCCTTCCCTTGGCCCATCCATTTCCTTTGTAAACCCTGAGCCTTGCTCCCGGCCCAGTCAACGTAATGTGGCTGGTGAATATAGTATTTGCTGGATACGGGAAGGGGTTCTACTCTAGAAATGTGACTCAGGCTATGGAGGAAGACTGGAAGCCACCTGATATTAAGTCAGGCTCTTGGTAGATCCAGTGCTGTTACGGCTGATAACCAGCATCCGCTAATCTGCCATAATTCAATATTAACAATGCATTTCTCCTCGGAAGTTATGTATACCTTGAGAGTAATAACGCTTGCTTTCTTGCTTCCTCCAAAGCAACTCTAGCCTCTTCCTCAGCTCTCTTCCTTCTCTCCTCAGCCGCAAGCCTCATTTTTTCTTCCTCCTCCTTTTTCTTCTTCTCATACTCCAACCGTTGCTCCTCGGCCATCTCTGCTAGCTGTCGCCGTTCTTCCTCCAACTGCAGCTCCATTTCTTTCTGCCTGCGTTTTTCTGCTTCTAAGGAACAGAGAGCAAGGGAGCTACCAGCTGTTTCTATTTCAAGTGAAATAAAATAATTGAAGTGAAAAGACAGGGAAAAAACATTTTGGGGAAACCTCAAATGCATGATTAATTAGCAGCTGTTTTATTGCAAAATGTTTATATTTTTGCACTGTTGTGTATTATGAAAGCTAGAGGACCAAAGGGAAACATTGTTCCAAACAGTAAAAAGCTCTGGAGTAATATTTGGACTGAATAAGGAGAACTGGGTTTAAATAAAACTCCAAAGCACAAAACATGAGCTTGGGCCAGCCTCTCCCGCAGCCATATCTACCTCTTGTGGAGATAAGTTGATATTAAGGTGATCTCTTTCTGGTATTTTCATCAGATATCAAAAACTTATTTGCCCAGGCAGGCCTTTCATTCAGCTATTGTGTTGTTGTTATCAAAATTATTGGTTTTAGTGTTTTGTGCTCTTTACTGGTTTAGACTACTGTATATTTTATTACATTTATAATACCTATTTTGTCAGCTTGCTTTTTTGTGAAAAGCAGTATAAAATGTTGGAAATGAATAAAATAAAGGAATTGTGCATGATACAAAATTTTGCATGATGCTCTCTTTGGAGATATAAAATATGGAATTAAAAATGAGGAAACTACAAATCCTCTGGAAAAACTGAAAAGAATTTCAAGAAAACAATATTTAACACCAGCAATCGGATCCCCTACAGAGTTAAATGAGCTCATATTCATTAATTCAATAGCCTTAGATATAACTAACTTCATAGAACTGAACTGCTAAAGAAATGCCAAAGAATCCCATTGGAGACAAGAACGAAGGAGAGGGGAATTGAAAACAGTCTTCAAATAAAAAAAAGTTTTTGTTAAAACAGGGAAATACAACTATCTCCAGGCAAAGGACCACCCTTGGTCTTTGAGAGGTGTGCTGAGAATAGAATTTTAGAAAATATACATTAAATCAGATTAAGCTTACTTAAAACCTAATTACTTAAATAAAGACTCTCTGTGTATTTAATATTTTTGTCCTTTCCACATAGTTATTTGGGTGAGATTAGAGGAAAATGCATAAAGCAGCCATTAGTAGAAATGCTACTTGAGACCAGAAGATATGAATCCATGTTTTAAAGATTATAAAAACTAAAGTAAATCATGAAACAGAATGCCCATTACTGTTTAAGGGAAAATGTGAATTAGTTAAAAAGCTGTTTGAAGCATCCAAAGTTACAGGAAAGGCAAACTTCTACAATATGGATAGATATTTCTAGTAAAGTAAGTAATATTTTGCCATGAAGTAAAACCAAAGAAATAACCATCCTTCCCTGGCCTGTTTCTGTGACTCTATTCCCTAAACTTTGCCAAATATTTTATTCCAGATCGGTCGTCACCACCTATTAACCCAAGAAAGTTGTCACTGATGCTACCCACCAAAAAACAAAACAAAACATCTGGGTAACAACTATAAAGCTTAATTTACTATAAATGGCACAAGGGCCTTACTGATACTCTAGAGCAGTGTTGTCCAAACTTGGCCACTTTAGGATGAGTGGACTTCAACTCCCAGAAT